AACAGGAGAGACAGGTTGCAGCAGATGAGTGCAGATTGCTAAGAGAGAGTGACAGGAGCAGAAAATGGGTGATAGGCAGTGCAGGACCAAACAGGATAAAATTAACAGAAACTGAGGGGGATCCAGGGGCGAACTATGACAACAGAATCACAAGTCCAAGTGTGAACTGTGTCACAGAGTAAATACAATAAAAACATATTATCTGCAGCATCGTTCATTAAAATGGCTCAACACTATTAATGTATTACGAAAAATATACATATGGTACGCAGACTTAAAGATATGTAGACCATTGCATTAGGTAATTCATTCAGGAAGTACTTTTACTTTTAATACTTTAAGTATTTTAAAAGTAAGTACTTATTTACTTTTACTTAAGTAAAAATGTTAATGTGGTACTTCTACTTTTACTAGAGTACATTTTTGTCCGTTTATTTGTACTTTTACTTAAGTACAGTGTTTGAGTACTTTCTCCACCACTTCCTTTGATGCAAAGCTATTTGTTATTCAGTTAACTTTTGTTATGCATAATCTTCATCAAATATATCACAGATTATTATTTTTATAATAAAATACATAAAATCAACTGAATTTTTGATTATTTTAGCATATCTGTGTGTATTAACTGATTTGATGCCCTTTAAACACGAGAGAAGAACTCACTTTTCAGTTTACATTAATTTGTGGTTAAATAGAGACTGATTTTTCCTCTCAAAGAGAGGTGGTGCCCACACAACGAGGTTATTTGCATAATAAATGCATATCTTATGAGCTTAGCTCATAACTGATAATCAACAATATACATCCAGCCCCATATCCCTCTACAATAGTCTTTCTGGTTCAAAATCACTGTGCATCTTCCTTTGTCTGCTGGGAGAATGATGATGTTTTTGTCCTTGCTAAGGGTGTTGAGTGCATCCCTCACCTCTCTACTAATGTTGGAAGGTGGTGGTTTGTAAAATGATCGAAAACGTACTTTTTTTTTTATAGATTCTCTGCCAGGAAACAATGCGAGGAGCTCATGTGTAGGGCGTAACAAAAAGGAGACGTGAGACGTTCTGATATAACCTTCTCCAGTGTCCCAAGAGACCTGCTAGTTTGTTCCAGACATTCTGGTGAGTGTCTAAATTCAGTTTGTTGGTGCTGTGCCATAAATTTGTGCCATGATTTTGTCCGGGTGTATCATGTTTAGTTCATGTTCATAGAAGTGGGTCAACCTGGTTCAGGTCAGGTTTATATTTTGCATGTAACTTAGTCTGAGTTTAGACAGAGTGGACATCTGTGTTACTGTGAAATAAACTGTTTAAAGTTTCTAGTGTTGTCACTTTTACTGTAGTAATACTGATGTGTGTTGTGATGTGTCCTCTTCAAGACAAACCTTCAGATGAAACTCCAGGAGAGGAGCTCAGTGAGGCTGCAGATGATGGAGAGGAGGAACATGAACCAGCAGCAAAAAGGTACAAATACAATGTGTGAACAAAGAAGAGCAGAAATAAACCACCTGTTACAGGAGAACAGGAAGCTCAGGTCAGAGCTGAATAAAAAACAGCTGGACAAATAATTTTTATAGTATTAAATATTATACAGGACTTCATTGCTTTGCCATCTTGTTGTCATTGTTTAACCCTGTTAGGCATTTTCTACCAGCATTAAAAAAAACCTCACAATTTCAATGGTTCTACAAACACTAATGCATCCTGTTCAGCATCTTTGCATCTTTTTAAGGTGTCACATAAAACTCTGTCTAATAGCTGTGTCTTTCTTTTCTTTCCAAGGGAGGACGTCCATCAGACAAGCTCATAACAGAAAGGAAGGCCCTGGTTGGGCCTTGCTAGTATCACTCAGCCCTCTGTGAACAGTAAACAGCCATCAGGTGCTAATGATCCATTGTTAGGCTGATGGTCCTTCTTGAGCATGTGAGCAGCTGGTTCTGGTTGTCAGCAGCAAAACTGGTTGATCCACTCTGAGAAGGTGCTATTTAAGAGACTGAGCTGAATACAGCACCTCAGATTGAAGAAGTCTTTCGGAGGCTAAACATTTTTGTTTTGTTTTGTTTTTTGAATGTCCAGAGGCCCAGACTTAACTTTTTTAGACACTTCTTGGTCTGCTGCCTTCATACATCTCCTCCTAAATGTTTCTGTGTGAGTGCAGCTACAGCGTGCGCTCTCAGGACATTATTAGATTTTCCACTTCCAGCGAGCTGATGGACGGCAGCTCCCTCCGGCTCCTCTGCAGTCTTTTATCATCAAACTGACCTGTTTTTAGAACCGGACTAAAGTTGGTCTCTCTTCCAACCGAATTCAGTGTTCAGTGACTCAGAGAGCCGGACGGGACCATCCAAAAAAATATTTTGGTCCAGGGCCGGCCGCTCCCACCCCACCGGTCACTCTGAGCACACCCTGCCGGCCAGGTGACCCCTCGAGCTGGGGAGTCGACGCACGAAGGTCCGGTGTTTTTTCTCTCTCTCTCTCTCTGGACCTCAACAAACTCTCATCTGGACCTTTGTGGTTCTACCTGGTCCCAACAAGAATCGCCGGGTGGTATTTCACTGGTTTTCTGCTGGACTGGACCTCGTTGTGTTTTCATAGGTGTGGGGGAAGTGTACCTGTGACCCTCGAACTGGACCAGAACCGAATTGTGTTGGCTATGGGGGACTTCGTCTTTAACAGAGCCGGTCTCCGCTTCAGTGAGCAGCCCGTTACTTTTAACCAAGGACGGTCCACCTCCGTGGAGTCGATGTGTTCACCTGGAGGAGACGCTCCGATGCTTTGAAGCGCTGCTAGAACCGGACCGGAGCAGAACCGGGCCAGTGACGACTTCAGCCTCTTCGCCTCTCGTTCTATGGAGCACCGGAGCCGGACTGGAGTAGAACCGGACCGGACCAGTGACGACTTCAGCCTCAGCCTCTCCGGTCAGTCTCGTTTTTCACCGGGGGTGCCTCTCGTGCTGTCGGGTGTGGAGGTGACTTGCAGAAAAGCGGAGGAGCAGCGTGGAGGAGCAGGGCTGCGTGGTGCTCGAGAGAAGTTCAGAGTTTGTATCGGAGTTGCTGCAGTCCTCCATCCAAACTCACCTGGATAATATCCTGATGCATGCTCAATAATCCAGGTAGAAAAATCCAAAAAAGTTCAATCTGGTCCTCTGGACATTCAAAAAAACAAAACAAAGCAAAAAAATCTAGAAACGTTTCGTCTCTCATCCAAGAGACTTCCTCAGTCTGAGGTGCTGTATTCAGCTCAGTCTCTTAAATAGCACCGTCTCAGTGTGGATCAACCAGTTTTGCTGCTGACAACCAGAACCAGCTGATCACATGATCAAGAAGGACCATCAGCCTAACAATGGATCATTAGCACCTGATGGCTGTTTACTGTTCACAGAGGGCTGAGTGATACTAGCAATCACAGCATTGTAAGAGGGGGACAGTTGAACCTGGAGGCTCCACCCCTGTTTAATGATGGACGGTTTCTTTTCACAAAGATGGCCTCCTTTACTCCTCTCTCAAACCATCGTTCCTCTCTGTCCAGGATGTGAACATCTTCATCCCTGAAAGAGTGACCTCTGGCCTGGAGATGAGTGTAGACCTCAGAGTCCTGGCCTGATGATGTTGATCTTCTGTGCTGGTCCATCCTTTTGGCCAGTGGCTGTTTAGTTTCCCCGATGTAAGACTGATCACCCTCCTGACACTGAACAGCATACACAACATTACTCTGTTTGTGCCGGGGGACTGGATCTTTGGGATGAACCAGTTTTTGC